ACTAACAAAATTACTAGCCATTTATGAGAAAAATTAATACAGTGGATAACAAAATCACAATAGCTTTTCTCTGTTCCAGTAATAAGCACCTACAAATATAAAAGAAAATATTCCATTTTACCAGAGTAAGAAACTATTAAATATTTAGGAAAAAATTTAAAAGACATAGAATTTATGTGACTCAAGCAAGTACTTTATTAAAACATACAAAGATCCAAGAAAATGAAAGGAAATTCCATATTTTGAAAGGACAATCATCATAAAGTTTCTTATAACAAATATGTTAATTTAACTTCCTATTAAAACATTAGCAATTTGTGTAATTAAAAAATAAAATTATGTGGGAAAATAAGTGATTCTGAATAGCAAAGAAGAGTTATCAAAAGGAGTGAAAGAGACAGACCAAGTGAGGGTTGAATTCAATGGGAAAAGAATGGATTGTTGGATAGACTTCTGGGCCCACAAGTGACTATCCACCTGAAAGGAAATAAAATTGGCCTCACATGTTTCACCAGAGACAAAAATGTTACAGATGGGATTAAAGAGGGAATTAAAAACTAAATATTAAAGTAAATATGCATATGTGTTCCTACATATGGACTGTACATACACACACACAAAATCAAAATACCAGAGTCTACAGATCAAATCTAAAGAGAAAGCTTTTAAAACTAAGACTGGAAATGCAGTAACTTACACAAGAAAAGACAGCTAAAGATTCACAAAGTAGTTATTAGGAAATAAACATCCAAGTAACAAGAAATAAAATTATAACCATTAAAAGTGGTTAAAAAAAAATTTTGAAGACATATAATGTCTACTTCTGGCAGAAATGGGAGAAAAGGTTATTTTCACATATTGGAAATGTGAATTCTTATATGAAAACAATCTGCTCAACCTTCATTAAAATTAGAAACATTAAAATCAATCATAAGAATTACTTTTTCTTATAAAAATGGTTACAATATCACATAGCTTAATCAACACATATCCCTATAACCTAAAGACATAAAAGCAGAAATGTGGGGATAGAGGTGTGGCTCACATGGTAGTATATCTGCCTAGCAATCACAAAGCTCTTAATTTAAACCCCAATAGAGAAAAGGGGAAGGGAAGAAAGAAAAGTAGAAATTTGTAAGAATGTTTATTTTAGAAATACTGCTTTTCTTAATGACAGGGGATGGAGTATGTCTCCCCAGAACGAGAAAAGCAAAATAAGACTATTATATAGTTGTTGAAAACAAACTGACATAGAGGGAACACACAAAAAAAGTACACATTACCAAAAAAATATAATCAGGCTGGGAGTGGTGGCACATGCCTGTGTGCAATCCAAGTACTTAAATGTAAAGATAGGAGGATCCTGGTCTGAGGTCAACCCAGGCAAAAACAAACTCAAGCAAAAGGACTGTGGGGTATGGCTTAAGTGGTAGAGCACTTACCTTGCAAGTGTGTGCAAGGCCCTGAACTCAATCCCCAGTACTGCTTCCTCTCCCCCCCACCCCCCGAAAAAAGATACACTGTAAGCACTTTTGTAAATGTCATAATGTACTCCAATGCTAATAAAAATTAATCACATTCATGCAATTAAGTAAAAGAATACATATATAAATATAAAACAAAGATTTCTGTTGTTAAAAGTTTTGTTGTGACCTTCTCAGTGCTAAATAACTGTTACCAATCACATAACCTAATCACCTCCAAATTCATATCTTCACCCTCTTTGAAACCCACACTCCTTGATATTCTCAGCATGAGAATAAAATCTTCCCTCAATGTCCTAACAGGATTGATTTCAAGAATGCCATACACAAGAAAATCTGTGGATGCTCAAGTCCCTTTTATAAAATGTCATACATCTGAATATAACAAGTGCATCCTCCTGTATTCTTTGGTCATTTCTAGATTACCATAATAATCAGTATAAATGGTAAATAAGTAGCTACTATACAGTACTGTTTAGAAAATGATAACAAGAAAGATGTCTGGATATATTCAAAACATACATTAATTTTTTCAAGTATTTCTAATCCAAAGTTGGTGGATTCATGGAAGGAAAATCCATGCTATGGAGGATTGACTGTATTGAAAATGAGAAGTCTTTAAAATCTCAACATTCAGCTTCCTGACTGTCCTCTCTCACCAATTTTAATTCCTGTCCTAAACATGAGGACAGCTGACCTTTTTTTTCTTTTTTTAAAACCCTCTGACCTTCACTTTTTTTACTCTCCAATTCTAGAATGCCATCCATTCTCACAAATGAGAAAATTAGGACTGGAGACTTGTATCAAGTGATCAACCGCCTGCATAGCAAGTATGAGGCCTGGAGTTCAAACCACAGTATCACTAAAAGAAAAAAAAGAAAAAAGAAGAAAAAGAAAATTTCTCCCTATGATTATTACTCTGTAACACATCCCATGGTATTTCCTATTCTCACATTCCAGTTTCAGCTGGCTGATTCACACTGTATGTTCTTTTGGGATCTTACAAACTCAGCATCATTTGAGGACTCAGAGTGCTGCAATTCTCTTCCTATTATTTTTTGTTACCTAGCCATAAAATGTAACTCTAATTCATATGTGTTTATAGGCAGATATTTGCTGCTGTGTTCACTCTAAAGCCTTCAATCAAGCATTTAAAGTTCTCCATTCTATGGTCTCAAAGGACCTATCTTTAAATGTATTTTACTCATCAGGTGAACATATTGATATCATTCTACCATGTCCCACAAATCACCATTTTCCTGCCTTTTTAGCTCATTCTTTCTACTACAACCATTGAAATTCTTGTGTTTTTCAAATTTCACCTCTTTATGATACCTATTTAAATACCACCTTTGAAGATGCTGGACACTTTCTTCCTGTGTTCCTGAACCGTAACTGTATTATTACTCTTCTCAAAATTAGTAAAAAGTATTATTACATCAGAAATCAGAAAAATGCTACTTTTCTCATGCTACATTTGATATTAAGTCCAGTCATTTTAATTTCTCTGAACCCCAGTTTCTTCACTTGCAAAACACAAATAAAATGCAACCTATATACCTCACAGGTAAACTGTATGAGAAAGCAATGCACAATTATTAACACTGTTTTAAAAGTCACCTTTTATTATGTATAGTTCAACCACTAGCAAATGATATGCATTTTAAAAAGCAATTGGGGGTGCGGAGGAGAAACAATCTGTTATCTAGCACGGTCCAGGCACTGGAGTCAATCCCCATCACAGGGGGTACAATACTTTGCCTAACATGTAGCAGCTGTTCAAATGTATTTTTTTAAACTGCAAATTATGAAATATAGCCATCATACTCCAAAATAAGGAAGATCACTGGAAGCACAATTAATGTACAATTCTGCCTTGATCAAAATGAAACAACATCTATGCCTCTTTTCCCCTCATGCATTTGTCTAGGAAAATTGTAACATACTATATTTCTACATCTGTTTTAGTTCACTTGAACAGCTTGTAGGTAGATACGGACATCTTACAAAAGCTGGTGAATGATTACACTAAAATGTGAAAGAATGTCAGAAAACTTTTTTTTTTTTTTTTTTTTTTTGCAGTACTAGGGCTTGAACTCAGGGCCTACACCTTGAGCCCCTCCACCAGCCCTTTTTTGTGATGTGTTTTCAAGGTAGGTTCTCATGGACACTCCTGATCTCTGCCTCCACAGTAGCTAGGATTACAGGCACACGTGACTGGTGCTCAGCCAGAACTTTAACACATTAGTGTACTGTAAAGTACCTGTGTGACTGTGGGACCCTCCTGAACAAATTAATGCAGCATTCATAGTAATTGAGCATTAGTAACTTAGCTTATCCTAAAATGTTAAAGTATGGTATTGTGGTTATTTCAGTGACATTAAAAAAAGAAAAAGTTACTATGTATAGCCAGGCACAGTGGCACACACCTGTAATGCCCTTACTAGGGGGACTGAGGCAGGACTGCAAGTTCAAAGCCAGTCTGGCTACAGAGTAAAATGCTGTATTGAGGCAGGGAGGGTGCTAAGTAAAATATTTTATAAGTTCCTGCTCTTTTACAAAAGCAACATTAGTTCATGGATGTTTATCAAAATTCAGAGAAAACAAGAATGGAATGCAGAGGATTGTGACGGTTGATTTTAGGAGGTAAACTAAATCCTGAGTGAACTAAGGTATACTCAGATAGTTGGCAGAGCAGTATTTTGGGGTTGATCTGTGAGGAAGTTGCTAACACAAATTGGCATTACTCAATGGACTGAGTAAGTATGCAGCTCCAATCTAGAAGAAAAAGAAATGTTGAGAGCTCTTGCTCTCCCCCTCCTCCACTCTCTGTGGCCTCTCCAGCCTCTTTCTTCCACACAAACCCCCTACAATTCAGACACCCTGTTGCCCTGTCCTTGGTCATCAGAACTCTACATTCTCCAGCCTCTGGATTGCAGGACTCACACCATTGCTTCACTATCCATGGTCCCGTCTCGGACATAGAGGCACACTATCGGCACCCCTGGTTCTGAGGCTCTGTCCAAAACTGAGACAACCTACCAGCTACTGTTGGCTGGTATTTCATACACACACACAAAAAAGTCGCTCTCATATCTATTCTGAGATTTTTTTTATCCACACCCTTCTCCTTCTTATAATTCATTTATAAAGACTATAAATAATCTCTGCTATAAATTTTTATTTGAGGCTGCCTGATAAAGCTGCCAGTCGCTAATAAGAAATTTTGCTAATAAGTAGCAGAAACAAAATTTTAAGATTTGGGGGGGTGGGGAGAGGATTAATGGGAAGCTAGCGCAGGGCACTTGTATACTTGGGCACTACAGCTAATGTCCAAAACTTTCTAAATAAAAAAATTTTAAGGTGTAAAAACAAGTAATTATACTGTACAGCAGATGAAAATAGATTTTTTTTTTAAAGAAAATGAGTTAGGAATGATGAACAGCACTTGATGTAACAGCAAATCACTTTGTGTGCATATTTATTTTTACAAAAAAATTTTTTTAGAAAGCTCACCCTGTATACGATGTTGTTGAGTTCCATAAAGACAAACGCCAAGTGGCATGATGTAATAGAAAGAGTGCTGGACTGAGTCTGGAGACCTCTGTTCTAGCCTAAGGCCTCAGTTTCCTCATCTGTAAAATGAGGGTACTGAGTTAGAAACAGTAGTCTCCCTTTTCCACACTTCCTTTCCACAGTTTTAGTTACCTACATTTAACCATGGTCTGAAAATAATGAATGGAAGATTACAGAAGTAAACAATTTATAAGTTTTTGATAACTCATGTAACACTATGTCACTGATAACTTAGAAACAGTATATCATTTGTATTGTTCTATTTTTAAAATGTGATGTTGTTCATCTTTTACTGTGTCCAACTTTGAATTAAACTTTTATCATAGGTATGTATGTACAGGAAAAACATAGTATATATTCTAGTAACTTAAACTACCTGGGTTATAGATATCCATTAAGGGTCTTGTAATATATCCCTCATGGATAAAAGGAAATTTACTGTAATCCAAAAAGGTACTCTAGCTTTACCATTAATTGATTCTATAGAAAAATTTAATAAAAAGCAAAGACAGGTAAGGCAATTGTTATTAGTAAAGTTTAACTTAACACTGGAAACAGGAAAAAGAAATAGGAATGAAAATAATTTTCAAATTACAAAAAGGAAACCATTTTAAACTATAAAAAGCAAATGCTTTATAACTTTTAACTGCTAAAAAAATTTTAGAATATACCAGCCTTAGTAACATTATCATCTAAGTAGAATTAATAATGAATAACCACATTATGACCTGCAATGGCTTATTTCCACTTTTGCCCAGTCACAAATGTGCAAGTAAATCTATACAATACCACAGAAACATCTTTAGACTGTACTCACTTTAAATAATTAAAGCATATTATAACTGTTCCCAACTAAGTAACTGTATAATGAAATAAGAAAAATTAGGGTAAATTAAACAATTTAATTTTAATATGCAGTAAAATAATAATTATGCTTGTGATATTCTTCTGTGTTAATTATCTTATTTTCCCTATGCTTAATACTTTTTTCTCACTACCTCTAAAAAAATAGAACCTGGATGGCTTCTTCTTGATAAGAAGTCTAACTGAAAAGTTTTGTTTTGTTTGGTGACATACAAAAGCATAGAAGAGTGTTTTGTGTGTAAGTTTGCTACATTGAAAGAAATTAAGCTTCTACTGGTAAGAAATAATAGAAAGGCTCTGGTCCCTTAAAAGCTGGTAGGTTTGTAATTGCAATTTCCTAAAGTAATTGACTGGTTAAAGCTAATCCTCTATGGTCTAACAACTACTAGCTTTAAGTTGATACTGTACTTTTTATTTACTTACTGCTTTTTGTTGATACTAAAGACCTGGTAGAGTTAAAATTCCAGCAGTCTGAAAAATAATAAACATAACTTTGCCATCAAGAATCTATCAAAAGCCAGGTGCCAGTGGCTCACGGCTGTAATCCTAGCTACTCAGGAGGCAAAGATCAGGAGGATCACGGTTCAAACCCAGCCCAGGCAAATAGTTCGAGAGATCTTATCTTAGAGAAAAAAACCATCACAAAAAAAAGGGCTGGTGGAGTGGCTCAAGATATAGGTCCTGAGTTCAAGCCCCAGTATCGCCAAAAAAAAAAAAAAAAAGGTAAAAATGAAGCAACCATGATGGGATTGAAATGTGTTCTTGGGAAGTCTTAACATGGTGGTCATTTCCGTATGTTCCTGAGTTAGAAATCTCAAACAAACCTTTCATTTGTACTGAATATATTTTGCATTTTGATTTTAGTTTTATAATTTTCAATCATAAGGAGCTAATATTATATTTAAAGGCAAACAACAGAAATCATACTTTATGGCTCTATTTTGATGAGTTGTTTTCAGCAGTTTTCTCCCATCTACCTTCTCTCCTATCCTACTGCCTTTTCATAAAGACTTAAACTTACAATATTTAATAATAAAAAGCACAGACAAGTGTTATGCAGATACTAAACAGCTCCTACAAAAATTGAAGACTGAAAGACTGGCTTGGGTCTATAAAAAGGCAATGGTACAAAAATCAGCAAATAAAGGAAAACTTGATATGTAAATGACTAGCTCAGAGATAGGAAGCTCACTGTTTCCTACTAAATTTCCCCCTTTTTTAGAGGGGGGGGGGAAGAACAATACTAATAAACCGAAGGACTGCCCTCACCCATGCTAGCAAGTGTTCTACCACTGAGCCACACCCCCCAACACCTATTAAATTTTTGTTAGGGCATAAGCACGCATCTTGTCATTCTTTCAACTACTTGCAAAGTCAGTATCCAGCATGATTTTCTCAAAGACCAAAATACCTTATTTAGATATAGATAGTATAGAATTCTTGAAAGAATACAAATGGCTAGAGTTGGGCTGAATATGGTTTATCACATTTGCTCTAAAAAAGTCCCAACTCCTGGTCCTCGTGATTACGGGGTGGGGCCTGAAATCTGGACTCAAAGCCTTGTGCTTGCTAGGCAGGCACTCTACCATTTGACCCATGCTGCCAGCTCCTTCTTTCTTTGTTAACTAAAGTATGATACACCTGGATACAAAATAAGACCAAAAAAGTAGTCCAAATCGACTTTAAAAGCCCTAAGACAAATAATTCCATGTAACTTATTTTATAAAACAAATTTAAAAACCGCCTAGTTTTATTTGAAATACTCATTTCAGGACAAGGAAAGAAAAAATTCTCAACAAAAACTGAGATAGTCAAATTAATGGTTTAAAAATCTTGTAAGTAAAAATTATATTTTAATATTAGTATTTTATTCTTCTCTCGTTCCCACACATACTACTTAATATGGCATATAAACTTAAAAATCCAGTACATCAGAATAGCTTTCCTAAGTAAAAGTGGGTACTACAAAAGGCGATGTATTTTTAACAGCACTAAGAACCACAAAATCTTAAAACAATGATCATTTCCTTTTGAATCCAACAATTCATTAGCACAGGGTTAACCCTATTTATAAAATGGATATTACTGGTGTGCCTCAAGCAGTAGAGTACCTTCTTTGCAAGCATCAAGTCTGGAGTTCAAACCCTAGTCCCACCAAAATACTACTACTACTGATAGTAATGATAATAATAAAACAAGATGCACATTATTTCTCAAACAAAATCTGATCATTCCAATTTGGCTAAAAGTTCCAGCATAAAAATTCATACAGCGTTTCTTCTTGAAAAATAAACACAACAAACTAAAAAATGTATTAAAATACACTTCATAAATGACAACTGCTCAGATTAAGAAGGGGATGAGAATCCAATTATTATGTGTAACAGCATTTGTAAAAACTTATTCAAAGTAAGCAATTCAGGGATGTATCTCCTATTAATCACACTGGAATCTGAGCACAATCTTCTTACATAGCCATATACTACAAAGGTATGCAGTATATAAATAGCAAAATTACCTTGTAATATACCAGGGAGCCCCCCCGCCCCCGACTTATTGGCCAAGGATACAATCCAAGATCTTCCAGTTGGCCTTAAACAGTTGATAATACTAAACCATGAATACACCAGATTTTTCCCCTATAAAAAGCATGCCTGTAATACACAGGTAGAGAAATGTCATTGATAAACTCCTTAAACTATTTTCAAATTTAATGAATTACCAATTTTGACAACTGCACAAAACAGGAACCTGGCTTAGACAAATACAACCAACTTGTCATTTTTTAAAATAACATTTTATAAAACTGCTCCAATAAAAAATACAATAATATTTTCATATCTACCAATGAGACTTCTACATTCTGGACTGGTCATGTGGCTCATATGGAGAATGCCTGCCTAATGAGCATAAGGACCTGAGTTCAAACCCCAGTACCGGGGGAAAAAAAAAATTTCCTCATAATTGTATATCATCGAAAGAAGTTAAAGTCATCAGTATACTTCCCGCATAAATACTTCAGCTTGCTTGCTCATCATAATCTAAGTAATAGTCTTTTTTTTTTTTGCCCTTTCTTTTTTGAGACAGACTCTCACTACGCAGCTCAGTATGGCCTTGAACTCATTATGTAGACCTAGGCTGGTCTTGAACTTGTGATCTTCCTCCCTGCACTTCCCAAATTCCAGGATTATAGAAGTGCTCCATCACATCTCACTCAGGTATTGGGGTTTGAACTCAGGGCCTCACACTTTTCCAGGCAGGTGCTCTACCACTTGAGCCACTCTGCCAGCCCTCAATTGTTATTTTCTAATAGAAGAAAATTTACCCAAACTACAGTGAACACTCATTAGTTGCTGAGTAGCTCCAAATCCCTAACAAAATACAGAATATTACCATCAGCCTAGAAAGATGCACTTTGCCACTTAATGTTTGTCTTCAACTCACATTCCTGTCCCCTGCCAACCACTTCTTCTGGTTTTCAACCAAAATCTACCCCATACACACAACTAAGTAGGTTTGCCTCTTTTTATAACATCATATATATGGAATCATACATGCCCTGTTTTATATAAGACTAATACATTAGGTATGTTTTGAGATTAATCACAGTTGCTATAACTGTTACTAGTTTGTTAATTTCTATACCAACCAATACCTGAGTAGTATTCTGTTGTACAAATAGAGCAGAATTTTTTTTTATCCATTCTCATTTTCAGGTTGGGGAAACCAAAAACTCCAATGTCATTCCCTTCTTGTAAGAATCTACTCCAAGTTAGGTGTTATGGTACAGTCCTGTAATTTCAGCACTTGGGAGACTGGTATAGGAGGATCATGAGTTGAGGTCAACTTCAAGCTACACAGTGGGCTTGAAGCCAGCTTGAAGGGTTATACAGCAAAACCCTGTCTTTGGCTGGGGGGGGAGGGGTGGGGAGGAGGGACAACCGGGGCAAGGGAAGAAGGAGGAAGGAAGAAGAATACTCTCCAATCTCGTTTCTACTGTTTTCTGGTTTGTTCTGGTGTCTTAATAATGCTTGTTTTTCATGTATTGCCCAAAGATTAGTCACATGGGAGGTTTGTCTCTTAGGAGTCACTACTCCTTTTTTTGGAATTAAAACATTCTACTATTCTTGTAAACGCATACGTTAAAACACTGCAAATGATGTACCCTTTTGGCTGTGTGTGTGCGCTTTCTTCGGTATTGGGGTTTTAGCTCAGGACCTACACCTTGGGCCACTCCACCAGCCCTTTTTTGTGATGGACTTTTTTCGAGATTGGGTCTCACCAACTATTTGCCCAGACTGCCATCAAACTGAGATCTCCTGATCTCTGCCTCCTCAGTAACTAGGATTACAGACATGAACCACTGGTACCTGGCTTTTGTTGTTGTTGTTTTTTCTCCCCCACTTTTAATATCTTGTCAGTTTCCTTCAATGAGACCAGCCAAACTAAACCAGGAAATGAAGTCTCTGAGAGCTGAAAAGTATGAGAAAATATTCAGAGCTGGAGATGGGAATCCTGTAATTCTGGACATGAACGAACACAAGTCTCAAATTCATCCCAAGGTAAGCCTGTGGAACACAAGCTTCTTTAGTCTGGAGAACTAAAGAAGTAAACCATGGCTCAGATGCCATGCTGAGAGGCACAGTTGAGGAGATGATCCAGTGCAGCCCAGCAAAGACTCTGAAAGCTGAACACAGGACTCACTGCCCACAGATCAAACAGAACTTGTGGTCTGAGCCTAACTACCTTTAACAACTACGTTAATTTTTAATTTTAAAAAAAAATCAACATTGATTGTCCAGAGAGGATGCAATCCAAAATTACTCAACATACAAAGATTGAGGAAAATCTGATCAGTTCTCAAAAAAGACAATAGATGCCAATCCTGAGAAGGTCTACAGGTGAGAATTATCAAAGAGGCACCTGAAATGACATGAAAGAGATGTAGAAGCTATACAAAAGAGGGTCAAATGGAAACTTTACAATGGAAAAAAATATGGAAAAACATTAAACATTTTATAAACTGAAGAAAAAGAAGAGCGAACATTGAATAACTGATCTTCCTAAGTAAGAGATTAAAAATAGATGTGAATAAAATTTTAAGTTTTAATAAAGGAAAAATTTCCTCAATAACAATTTTTATTGTTAGCTGTCAACAGTAATGAAAAAAAAATCTAGAGATCGTTCACCAAGATGCACTCATTCCTATCATCTAAGACCTCCAAAGGTCCTGTCAAAGTTCTCAGGTTTCACCTGCTACACAAGAATGATGGACTGCTAACGAGATGGTTCCGGTCTTGGTTCTGTAACTATGACAAAATAGATGACAGCATCACTTCTCTAGGCATCATTTTCTCCTCTGTAAAATGAGGACTGCTTTAATCAATAATGAGAACTTACTTAGGTTTATAAAATAGTTTGAAGGTCTAATTTCAGGAACACCGAGGGTCATTCCAATCTCCTTGGATATTAGCATTAGCAAGTTTTTTTAGTGCTCTGATTACTGGTTTCCAGCAGAAGGAAAAAAAAGCTTGATAGATATGACTAGCAAGGTTTAGAGCACCACCGTTCAACAGACATATAACGTAAGTCACAATACAAACAACATGTAAATTTTAAGATTTTTGGTAACCACATGAAAAATTAAAGATGAAACAGGTGGAACTTATTCTAATAATATATTTTATTAAACCTAATACATTCAAGATATTATAATTTCTTAAAACACAGCACCCATTTATCCATAGTTTCTCTGTTTATAATTGCTTTTACCTATATAGGTGGGGGGTCAGGGGGAGGGAGATAGTTTCCAAGTTTCCAAATGGCTTCAACAGAACTACAAAGTAAGCAATGGTCTTCAGTTTCAAATTTTGTGGCCACATTCCTAAGGTTAGACAAAGTTACCCAGTAAGACTCATATAATACAAACCTTAAAAAAATTAGAAAATCTTAAAAATAAGCCAGATAATATTCAGTAATAAAATACCTTTTGTTTTTAACATTACTTCAGACATTCATCCCTTTACTGTGTGTTTATCCCTGTTCTTACACTATTATATATTCTTAGAGGTAAGGAAAAGGATATTTGATTCCTAAATGAATAATGCCTATGCTAAATACTTTCAGGACACCAAAATTAATCAAAGTATGAAGAATAGTATCTAAATAACTATAGTAACTTATCACAAGTCCATAAGCATAATTTAGGATGGATACTTCACACAATGTTATCCACATTAGCATATCATTCATAATTCACAGGTAACACCACTTCAGAATCCTATGATGAATAATAAAAATGACCAACAAACTTTCTACAGTGAACAAATTATGGATGTGATGCTTAAGAAGCAGACAGAGCCAAGCACTGTGGGACAAGCTGCCTGGGAGGTGAAGATTGAGAGAATCACAATTTGAGGCCAGGTCCAGCAAGAAGTTTACAAGAATCTCTTTCAGTCAATGCCTGGGTGGGATGGCATATGCCTACTGTCGCCAGCTATGTGGGGACAACACAAATAGGAGGACTGCAGTTCAAGCCTGCATAGGCATAAAGTGAAAACCTTTTTCAAAATAATCAACGTGGGGTTGTGGTGTGGCTCAAGTGGTAGAGTACATGGGTAGCAATCAGGAGGCCCTGAGTTCATACCCCAATACTGCCAAGGGAACCAAAATTTTAAAAAAGCAACACAAATAGGGCTGGCAGAGTGGCTCAAGTGGCACAATGCCTGCCCAGCAAGTGTAGGCCTGAGTTCAACCCCCAGTAAATACAAAACATTTTTTAGTAATGAAACGGGTGGTACTTGTTTAATTATATATGAGCAAATACACATACATACATACATACATACACACACACACACACACACACACACACACACACACACACACACACACACACACACGGGGAGGGGAAGAGTCAAGAGAACATGCAGGCATAACTTTAAGGCCAGCCTGGGCCACACAGATACTCTGTCTCAAAAACAAAACAAAAAAAAAAAAAGCATGAAAATTTTTAGTTTTTTCTTAATTATATTACATCTGATTTTATATTATCTGTATAACTAATATAATTGGTAGTAATGGTTGTTAATTTATCAATTATAAACTACGATAGCTGTATTAATATGCAATTAAATATGGCAATAACTAATATTAGCTATATTGATATGTTATTAGCATATCAAATTTATATACATATAATTAAAAGATTTATGAGAAAAAAGTAAAATACTGACAAAGAATTTATATTTTAAAAATAAAACTAAATTTATATCAGAGATCTCAGACAGACAGACAGACACACACACACACGCACACACACAGCTTCCCCCAACAAGAAGCAATGCACTCCCTGAGATACTGCTTTTCACTAAAAGAAATGAGGACTTCTTGGACACATTTGACATGAGGACTAAGGCAAGGCATTCATGAGATGAGGTTGGGAACATCTTGCTATGTGAGAAAGCAAGGATGCTATTAAAGATTAATGAAGCCATTTCAAAAAGACTCAGAAGTCAACTTGAAAAGACTTCTTTGGCCAAGACAATCTGACATTAATAATAAAAACAACCACAAAGCAAAGAGATACATCAAATGCTTAAATCCACAAGCTCATAATAACATTAAAAAAAATCCTCATTGATTACCTTTCCAGGAATCTAGGGAACTCACTACTTTGAAAATTCAATCAAACATTTATAGTATGCTTTTCCTGCGCAAAACCATGCAACAAATTAATCAAGTATCTGATAAAGGAAGTTTCTCTCTGTTCAAATAGTACAGAGAAGAAATGCTTGATATAATGAAGATATTAACATTTTTGTACACGGATCTGGACAATGATCACAACATTACAACTAAATACTGTGTCCCTTTTCATGAAAGTTCTTACTTAGCACTACCTATAAAATACTCTGTTACTCCAACCTCCCAAATTAATGGAAGGGAAAACTCTGAATTAGAGTAAGCCAACAGATCTACCTACTGATTTACCAAGGAAAACAGGAACATTTTACTAAAGAGATGCCATTAATGAAACATAGAATATGGAAAACTTTATGAATAAAAGGGAAAAATTAAGTAAAATGTACATAAAATATAATGAAAGGATTTATTCGAGATTCTGCCAAAAAAAATCTATTTATGAGATTAGGAAAACCTAAACTAAAAGGATATTAAGAAATTACTGTTGAAAGTTCATATAACAATCAAACAGAAGATAAATGTGTTGTCCAGGATGTGGAGAAATTGAAATCCTAGTTCACTGCTAGTGGAACAGCCACTGTGGAAAACAGTAGGGAAGTTCCTTAAAAGAATAAAGCTAAAATCACAATCCTACCAAAAAAGAACTCAAAACTCAGATCTAAGAGGTACAGACACACCCATGTTTAAAGCAACACTACTCAAAAGAAACAAAAGGTAGAAAAAATCCAAACATCCATCAACAAAAATGTATAAAGAAAATGTGTCATGTACATGCAGGGGAATATTACTCAGTCTTAAAAAAAAGGAAATAATGCTAAAGCTACAACAAGGATGAGTTTTAGGCCATCACTATGCTAAATAAAAGAAGATAATTATTGTATGATGTTACTCACATGAGCTATCTAAATAGTCAAACTTGCTGGGTGCCAGTGGCTAATGACTGTAACTCTAGCTACTTGGGAGGCTGAGATCAAGAAGCCTGCTACTCAATGGCAGTCCAGGCAAATAGTTTCAGAGATACCACCTCCAAAATAACTAGAGCAAAATGGATTGGTGAGATGGCTCAAGCAGTATAGAGCACCTGCTTTGCAAGTGTGAAGCACTAAATTAAAACCCCAGGGCCACCAAAAAACTTCAATAATAAAAACAAATAAACACAATAGTTTAACTCAAAGAAACAGAAGGTAAGAGGGCTAGAAGTAGTAGGGAATTGTTTCGTGGTTTTGCAACACAAAAAAGAATTCTAGAGATCTGTCGCACAACTATGCAAATATAGTTATTAGTACACTGAAATACAGTAAACTTTTGGGCTGGTGGGGTGGCTCAAGTGGTTAGAGTACCTGCCTACCAACTATGAGGCCCTGTGTTCAAACCAAGGTACCATCAGGGAAAAAAAAGTCAGCTATCAAAGACTTTTTATATAGTTTTGACCACAATTTTTTAAAAACATATTTATATTCCCTCTCAAGTGAAAAAGAGCTAGGTGCCAATGACTCATGCCTATAATCCTGGTTACTTGGAAGGCAGTGATCAGGAGGATTGCAGTTTGAAGCCCAGCCTGTGCAAACAGTTTTCAAGATCCTATCTCGAAAATAGCCAACACAAAAAGGGCTCACAGAATAACTCAAGTGGTAGAACACCTGCCTAGCATGAGACCCTGAGTTCAAACTCAAGTACTGCCAAATAAAAAGCTGCTTCTTACATGAAGAACTGATTGCAGGTTAAATGATATCTAATGAGTCATCAAGCAATTTAAAGAACCTAGTAGTGTTTCATAAGTTAATGAAAACACTAAGCCATCTTATGTACTAAAGGTAGGGGGAAAAAAATTATTTTCTGAATTCAACCTTCCCTATCAAGTCTGGGGAGTGGGGAAGTAGAGAGAAAGGAGAGAGAAGGGGAGAAAGCAGAGAGAGGGGAAGAATGTAAAAGAACTACTTTCACCCCAGTAAGAAATCAGAAGACAACTGAGACAAAGGAAAAGCAGCATACACATAGGTCCACCTTACAATCACACGCTAGTGATATTTTCACAGGCTATCTTACTTATTCTAGTCACTACTAACTTTTAATCATTTTTATTTTAGACTGATATATTTATCATTTCCCACCAAATTCTATAAATCTTAGACAGTTTTTATAACTCCTTGATTTTATGTTTAAAAGTAAGAAGCAATTTTTAATTTTGTAATGAACTATAAGAAATATTTTCAAATAGAAGATCCTACTGTTTAAAGTCATTAATTCTTTAAAAACATAAATAATGGGCTAGGGTATGGCTCGGTGGTACAGTACATAATTAGAATGTGCAAGGCCCTGGATTCAATTTCCAACATGGGGGTGGGGTAAACATTCATTTCCTACGATTTATTGATCCCCAAAATACATAGCAATACAACTGGAGTAAGAAATCATTTTTTGTAACGGGAAATTATTCTGAATTCTAGTTAAGGGGAGAGATCACATAGTCTACAGCTAGAATACACCTCAAAATTTAATCCAATTCCACCATCTAATTTTTACAAGTCATCCAAGATTGCCAAAAGTCATTAAAGAGTCTCAGCATATTCAGAAAATAAAGTAAGTCCCAGCTCCTACAGAATCTAGTAGGGGTTTTTGTTGTTGTATAACATGGTTGGCACTTACATTTCATAATGAAAGGCTTCTAAAAACTTTCTAAATACTTAATAATGCCTCTTTTTAAAGTTATTTGTTAAATAAACATAGGCAGAATTTTAGCCATTTATCTACTCATTAACTAATGGTATAAACACAATGTCCCAAACTTACTAAAATAATGGATAAAAACAAAAGAGCTGTTCTAACACTGTTGAATTTTTTCAATAAGAAAAATACATTAAAAAAATGTGGTTCATGACAAAAATCAAGACCATAACTATGTAACACTTTACTGATAACCTTAGCTAAGAGGCTATAAAAACTACCAAAACTGGAAATCTTCAAAGTAGGTGTTTCCTTTGCTAAATATTCAAAAATTGTTTCAGTTACTTTAAGTTACTTGTTTTTTAAAAGTAAGTAAGGAAACACATGCATTTTGTCATGTTGCTAAGAAATTTTCAAAATTCTCGAAAGACTCTAAAACTCAAGAGCAATAAGCATACTCTGACAATGGGAGTTAGCAGAATCTTACCATTGGCAGTGCATTGATGTGAGGATGTGCAAGGGGATATCCGGTACCGCCAATCACAAGTTGCTGTTGCTGATGCTGAGAAAAAGGAAAGTAAAGTATTCAGTGTTCCCTAAAACAAATACAGTTTTAAGATTTTCTACACCAAACTTTACAGGTTTGAAATGCTCTTATTTATGCTTTTAAAGTTCCCGCCAGTGAAAATCTCCCTAAAGCAATTGCTATCATAAACAACACCAGCAACTTTTGAGTGCCTAATGTGTGACATGTCTTTAAAACATTCCTAAGAAGTTACCACAGTGAACAACATGAGATTCAAAGAGGAATTTGTGCAGAGGGTGTTCTCAACCTCCAATTCAGCTCAAGTCATGCAAATACTACTATATTAGCATCATTATACTGATCATGAGACAAACAGTATAACTATGCATGCTACATACTGGTAAAAAAAGATATAAATTTCAATCAGAACTTCTTGAACTTAAAAAAAAAAAAAACAGTATTGGGGATAGTACTGAGCACCTTCTAGCAAGTGCTCTGCTACTTTAGCCATGCCCTAGTCCTCAGAACGTGTTAAACTTTTATCTCTTCAGAGTTTACATTTTACAGGGTTTACCTAAACCTCTCTCAATTGGCAAATATAATCTATCTTAGTCTGTGAGCCTTTTGTGCAGTGTAAAGTTATACCTCATACCATGTCAGCAAGGAAACACTTGGGTGGAACACTGACCACAAACTCAGTTCCACCGTGCACTGGAGTGGAATACAACTTTCTGTGAGAGTGACAGTGACACCTAGCTAATGCCACAGAGATTACCACAACACATGGGTAGTTTGCCTCCTGTACCATAGAGGTGAATTAGTGTGTAAACAGATAACTAAGCAAATACCTAAATAACTACAGAAACATTTAAATCCCTTAAACGTTGTTCTTCTCTAGTTTTATCTTTGATTGGGACACACATGTGCTTTCATGGTTGACTCCATGCCATATTAACTAGTACCTCATATAGTACTTTCAAGTAGTTAAGTGCTAACATCATCCAAGAGTTAAATTTACATTCAGTAAACACTACACACTTACTGAAATTAACAATAGTGATGCTAACAGGTAATATCCCACTGGTCTCTGGTACTTCAAGACATGTAATGGCAATGAGCTTCACAGTATTTTGGAATGAGATACTGTGTTTTTGACATAGGGAACTAGTTTCTTTCCAGCCTGATAGGCAAAATGTTCCAGACATCATGACTGACTTCAAACAAAAGCATGATATCCATAGGTTCTATTTACTTTGGGATTATTTGTTATGACTCTCACTTATTTTATTTCATGAATTTTTGAGCTAAAGCTATATAGGTCAGCTTGTTATTGAAAAATCAGTAGAACACTCTTATCAGGAAAAAAAGGCTTTGGCAATCATGCATTCTATTTATTTATAAATAATTAACATGTGCTATTAAATTATGTATTTCTAAATATATAATATATAAATAAAAGACAAAGATAAATTACTTACAAGTGCTACAATCTTTTTTGTTTATAACATTTTAATACTTTTAAATGTCTTTTTAATCATGATGATTTTAAATAATGATAATAATTCACCATCAACCAGAATCTTAGAACAGGATTCATCAGTACTGTAAGTGAATGTCTATACTGCAATCTTTCCTTAGTAATTTCTCATTTTTGAGACATATTCTAAAATCATTAGATCACAGCAAGAAATGAGTTCATTTTAATAGTCTACCACTGTTTCTTATTTCTATTCTTGATTCTGTATATTGTTTCTTCACAAGAAAAAGATTGTTAAAACTAGATAGTATAAATCAAATCCACACAATCAAATATAAGTCAACAAGTAAACTTACAGTAGTATCCTAAGATACACGGCAATTTCAGGAAATGGAATGAACCATCGGAACCATCAGGAGTGTGCGTCACTGGCTTTGTGTAATTCCCAACACCTTCCTCCAAATATTACTATGTACTATATATTATGTATAACTATTGACATTAGGGCCAAAAAATGCAGATTTGAACGCTTGTGTTAAATACTGAAACAGTACTTTGCTCTAAAGTGAACATAAACCAATAATGGTACTCTACTCCCATAGATACCTGTTTTTGCCCATGTGCACTGCACAACACACATAAACTCACACAAATTTACCTTGGGAAAATAATAAATTATATTACTTAAATTGCTTCGTTCTTCTCCCTCACTCTTTTCACTACTGTAGTCAGGAGTCTTTCTTACATACTCATAGATGTATCCAATCTCAAGTTTTCACTAATCATCCTTTCTCTACTCTTCCTCTTCATTCCTTCACTTTAGCTTTTCCTTTTAGACTACAGTTCCTTAACTAAGGGAAAGATCACAACAGTGGTTTAATAAATAACTAAATGGTTAAATAAATAATTGGTTCTAGGACCTGAAGGGTGAGCAAATCTGTGGTGAGTGGTGTGGCAAGAGATATATCCATTTGCATACACAATTCAGTCTGAAAAATTGAGAAATTTCTAGAAACATTATGTGGGGCCATACTTTGGGTTCTATCTTACATGTTTTCCTAGTCAACTCATTTATCCATTTCCCAGACATTGTACAGTACATTCATAAAGCAACTCACATGTGAGGAATAGTAAGACTTAACAGATACATATTTTCCAAGGAAATTACAAAAATTAAGGATGCTTTTAGGAAAACATGGCAACATATATTAAAACTATAGTAAAACATCAAAAGGCCAAAATTATGTGTATCCTGTACGTTTGCCTTTCTAAAGCCACTACTCGGTATCTAATACTCTGTCACAGCAGAGCACCATGTCACTGTGTTCTCTGCAGTTTTTGGCTACATGACATTGTCATTCCTCGGTCAGAAAAAATGTCCTTCTTCTATGGTTCTGCCCACAAACCTGGTCCCCATCCTTTCCTTCAAACTTCATCCCAAATCAGCCTCTGCCCTGATCATCTACCCCACTATCCAAAGAGAGAAACAGGAGCTTCCTTCAGCACACCTTCCCTCCCACAGCTCTGGAATGCTTTAGTTTTCTACCATGCCTTTCCCATCAGACTTCTGCAGACCAAGGACTGACTCGTTCTCCACAGAATTTAGAACAATACCTTGAATACATGTAGTTCTTAAGATGTAGATAATGATAAAATGTTGTATCAATATAGAGGGAATAGGTATACATACATTTCAAAACAACACACAATAGGGACTCAACTAAAGCACAAATAAATCACACTGGTAAGAAAGAACTCAACAATGACCTGAGAAGGCCAGGCACTGTGGTCACATCTGTAATCCTGGCCACTTGGAAGGGGGAGGTAAGAGGAAAGCAGGTGAAGACCCACTGGGACAAAAAAGTTGATGAGATTCTATCTCAAAGAACAAGCTAGGCACAGTGGTACACACTAGTAATCACAGTTACACAAGAAGAGCAGAGTCCGAGGCCAGCCTGGACAAAAGTACAGGATCTATCTGAAAAATAAAGTGGTAAAAGGGGTGAGGGATGTCGCTGGAGACACAGTTCAAATGGTATAGCTTGCCTAACAAGCACAAGGATTCCTAAGTTCAAAACTCCAGTACCACCACCCCCAAAAAGCAAAAGCCAAATAAATAAATAAATAAATAAATAATGGAGATTAACAAAATACTCAGGAATATATGACAAATCAAATCATAAAAACTACTTTATTACATAAGCTAAATCCATTTAGCTATCCCTATAATGAAATAAACATTTGTCTATAGACTTGTGGTTTCCAAACACTTCATTTCTATAATCTGTATCTCAGAACAATTTAACTAAAATGAGTAAAATTCTGGTTTTAAAATAGGCCTAGAAAGTGACTGAGTAGACATCTACAATCTACCCATCTATCCATAATTAGGAGTTTTTAATAGTAAAAATTCTGTAAAATAACAAAATAATAATTTGTTCCCTAGAAGTAAATTTGATCTGTATTCTGCTTTGAGACATTGTGGTTGTTCTCCCACAATGTAAACATTATGAAGATTTATTTACTTTAGGTAGAAACATAACCTAGTCTAAAACCCAGTGGCCAAAAACAAATTCAAGAAGCTGTCACTAGTATGCTTAAGAATAAACAGAAGCTAAAATGAATTTTTACTCAATGTGGACAATTTGGGGAAATCTGAATTAAAAGAAAAATAAGAATCTTACCAGAATTCATTCCGCACTTTTTAAGATTTTTATTAAATGGGCTGAGGATGGAGGCCCCCGCACGCAGGAGGCCCTGAGTTCAAACCCCAGCACCATAAAGGATAAAGAAAGATTTTTATAAAATGAATTTCTGAGGAGGAAAACATCACAAAATTCAAATTGAGTTACTAAACACATAACTGACCCCCATAATACTGACTGTCTCCAAATGGAACATTTAAAAAAAAAAAACAAATATATTTATAAATCAAAGAGTTTAAACTAAACTGTCTCAATTTCATTCATTTTTACAAAAAAATTATTAGTTGCCTTCTTCAACATGACAATCCTGAACCACCTGCTATACATATAACAGAAGCCTCTAAAACACTGTATTTTTCACAGTCCTCAACCTATCCTAGTTACCCATAGAGTCATAACACAGGTAAAATTCTAGACACAGAAACAAGGCAAGATTGGAAAGGGAAGGAGCTATAATCACCAGGTTGGCTTAAGGAAACTGACCGTGAGATCAGACTTACAGTCAGACCAAACATAGCTGGGCCCTTACCACCTATGATTTCACTTACAGATGTTCAAGTGAGTTGGAGGAGTACATTCAAAAATTGTGTATTGTGGCCTCAATTTTCTAAAAATAAACAATTCTCCATGTCACATCCACATAAACAAACGGTAATTTAAACACACACTGGTGTTTAATCATCCAATTACTGCTTCAGTTCAGTTAATTTTACTGCTAGCATAACATGTGGTTGAATCTTAAGCTAAACTTATAATAAACTAGTGTGCAGGAATAAAATAAAAAGCTATCAAGTATTTCAAAATTTGCCTGCCCCAGAATAAGCAATGCAATTATAGACAATTAAAATCACAAA